TAGGGGGCGGGGCTTAGATGATGTCATCATTTGACCATCCAGTATGGTCAAGCACCCAAAGGGGCTCCTTACTGCCAAACGTGGTTTGATTTGAACCTTTTTTGTAAAAGTTATTCCACTTTGAAATTCTTCAAAAGTACCCTAACTTCGGGGCCCCTGGGGACCCCTTAAACATGCTCAAAAACGAAAACCTTTGATAACTTTTAATCTCCAATGCCTTAACTGCATAATGACCGAGTTTGAAGCCGATAGCTCATAATCCCTAGGAGGAGTTCGTTAAAGTTCGACATGAGCGAAAATGAAAAATGGCCAAAAATCGCACTTTGAGCCAAAATGGCCGACTTCCTGTGGGTTTTAGGGCATACCTCCAAGAGACTTTTTTTCATGATTTTACGAGATCTACCTGTGTGCCAAGTTTCAAATCTCTGGGACTTACAGTTTCCCCCAACTCACGTTAGGGGGCGCTGTGGCGTAATTTGGGGGCGGCCATTTTGGATTCCATTACAGACCGGCTATTTCACGCGGGGGACAATTTACTGCCACGTTTTCCTGAGTTTTTGAAAATGCGAAGTCCCCGTAAAATGCGTTCAAAGTGCTACAAGAATAATAATAATAATAATAAACATTACAGATACAATAGGCTCTCGCAGCGCTTAGCTGCTCGGGCCTAATAAGAAACTTTCGAAATACAATAGGCCTTCGCAGCGCTTTGCTGCTCGGGCCTAATAATAATAATAATAATAATAAGAAACTTTCGAAATACAATAGGCCTTCGCAGCGCTATGCTGCTCGGGCCTAATAATAATAATAATAAGAAACTTTCGAAATACAATAGGCCTTCGCAGCGCTATGCTGCTCGGGCCTAATAATAATAATAATAAGAAACTTTCGAAATACAATAGGCCTTCGCAGCGCTATGCTGCTCGGGCCTAATTACAAATGCAATAGTCTGAGTTTTACTATTTTAGCAGCATTTTTAATAACTATAGCTTTTCTGTTTTAAATAAAAGGAACTTGATAGAAAAAATTTCTGTGTAAAAGAAAAAAAAAGTAATCAGAAAACAAACACTCACTTCTAATCCCCCCCAAAAAACAACCTGCTGTCAATCATTTTGCTTTCAGTGATTTTATAGAATGCGCTTAATTGTAAAAAAAAAATCATATCCTAAGTCATTTACCTCCTAAGGCTTTCCTTCTTTTCCCCACTGGAAAGACATGTGTCCAGATGTTTGTTGATAAAGTGCTGCGGCACGCTTACAGAGCACACAGGACACTCAACTAGAAAAAACAAAATAATAATAAAAAATAAATAAAGGTTGGGATAAAGGCTTTGTTAGCATCTTAATCAACAATTCACACTAATTGATTATTTCTATATTTCTACATTGAATTTGTTAGTGGAAGACCTACATAATAAATTTTCATTTATGTTGTCAGGCAACATAAGTTAACATGTGAAATTGCTCATTATAGTCACCATAGAGCTCCGTCTAATGATTCTAATAGGGTAAAAAGTTCAAACAACAAAAACACCAACACCTAATGACACCTAGTAAACATCAAAACAGCTCTTTAACGACAATACATTTATTACTGACAAAAAACATACTAACACCTTAAGAAAATACATTACTTTTTATAATACATATAATCAGCACCCAGGAAACAAAGAATTTTAAAAATAATTTATATAGTTAGAATAATTATCATTAATGATGTGAGTTTATTACACCCTAATATTACCTGCCTGTTGCGTATTGGAACTAATGTTTTCCCCAATAGTTTATCTAATTAGGACAGTTCCTCTGTCAGGATATACAGTTATCTTCATTCTGTATGTGGCAAAGATTTGGGAAAGGTGTCCTTCAGCTAAGAACAAAGTGTAATATTGTGATACGGCCGGAGCCATGGATGTCATGGATGTCGAGGCCGCTTCACGAGAAATGAGCCCGGTTGGTAAGCAGCTGCCTTCTGTAACTCTAAGCAACTTCTCTGATCCGAGATTACAATTTCTATCAAAATTTGTAGTCATGTCTTATGGTTATTTAATACATAAACGTTATGAAGTGTTATTTGAAGAGTTTGTCCAGAGTGATGTTATTTCCAGGACAAAAGAACCGGAGAGATAAAGCTTTCAGAGTAAACATAGAGCTTCCCTTAAACAAATAGATGCACTACAGGTTATTATAATACCGGTAATATAATTATTAGTATAATAAGTTACAGCATTCTACTTGACAGTCAAACCATTCTAACTTAGAATCCCTTAAATTAAACGTATAAGCTCTTTTACACAAGAAAAAAGGGGGATAAAAAGACATCTGAAAGAATTAGTCTATCTTAAGAGCTACAGGAATCAAATTGTCCCAGTATGAGGTTAAAGCTAAAACAATCTAAGTAACCGAGAGTTTAATGTTTGGGTATTTCATACCCAAGCTGGGACAACATATTTTCTCAGACGTTCAAATTGTACCTTGGTAGATTGAGAGCTTTAAAAAAAAACAAAAAAAAAACCCACTATATTTTGTAGAATACTTTTTGGTGGCCTGAGAACCCAAAGCTCACCGAACCCAGGAAACAGTCCCTTAAAAAAGCACTGGAGATATTTGCTTTTTAATTATTTGCCGCCGCAGCTGTGTGGTTGGTCCATCAGTGGCTCTCCTCGAACGATACAACTTATTCAGGTCCGATTGGGAACACCATTTGTTAAAGGAAAGCTTGTGTTTACACCTCACTATCTATTTTTAAGATGCACAACACTGAATAATTACAGTTTAAACCTATGCAATATTTGGTATTTTTAACACTCCTTAGGCCATGGATTTAAACACTAACTTCTATTACTGCAATTGGCCATTTGGATGATTTTTAATGATCTTTTATGCCATCAGTGGAAACAAGTAAGATTTTTGAAAATGTTCTCTCCTTCTAATTGACTATTTTCAGTGCTCAGGAAGTGAAATATTGAAAGTTTTCGTTTTTGTTTTTGTTATTGTGGGTCGAATACAGAAAAATAATACTCAGGTCAGACTTTACAGGAAATCACAAACTTTTAGGTCAGGAAAAGGTTCATTGCGTAATCTCAAAAAACTTATAAATAAGCATAATCATCTTATTTCATGGAGGTTTAGAAATTTGCACCATTTCTACCATGTTAGAAGCTGTGGGTGGTATCATTAAGTGTTCCCATATCTGCAGCTCTAAATGTGCTTTCACATGACTCTTTTCCATATTTTCATGCAGTGGCTTAAAAGGTAGAAAAACTGAGCTGAAAGGGAGCAAAAAAGCAGCTGAAACAGGGCAATGTGTTCCTGGTAATGTAAAGTTAAAATGGCTTCACCTTTGATTATGGGCTTTACATCTATTGAAGGTGATGAGGAATGCGCCTTCTCGGAGCCGGTGTGAAAATCTGTATCCTGCTTGTTCACAGACATCAGAACCTTGATAGATGGGTCCTCTGCATCCACCGGCTCTTCCTTTATAACCACTGACATTTGAGCTGTTCCAGAATGTAGGTCAGAGCCCTTTGCGCTGCGGCTTGGTGTTTCCTGTACTTCTTCTAACTTAACATCCTGATGGGCTTCTTTACCAGGTGTCCTGGGCTTCTTTTGGAAAAAGTGACTTAAAATGGAGCTACTGGACTTCTGGGACTTCTGAATTGGGGTTTTGCATTTGACAGCTGAAGCTGGGGTCTTTGGTGATATAGGAGGAGATTCAAAGTTTGCTTTTAACAACTGCTGCCTAAAAAAGAGGAACAAAAGCAAAGCAAATTAAAATCTGTGTATTATTTAAGAATAAATATGTAAATACCCTGATGCAACTTGATAAAACAGGTACAATACATAAATAACTAAAAATAAAATCCAAAAACATCATCTGGACAGGTTCTCCGTTATAAAAAGTTTTTTCTCTTTAACCGTTTTACAATTAAATTCCAGAAAGTCAAACTTTTCACTAATCATATAAACTCTGTGGATGAATACAAAAAGTTTTGCATGAGAAGCTTAGAAAAATGGCAGATTGACTTTCTTGGACTGTGACGTCTTTGTCTCAGATGGAGGACAGGTAGAAAGTGAAAAATAACACGATTTAATCTATCCTTAAAAAAATAATTAAAAAAAAAGAATAATTTACAGATACTTATTCAAGTCACAATTGACTCATTCCCATTTGCCCAAACTGTTGCCCTACTTTAGCTGTAGGTCACGCCAAAAAGCATTTATTTTAAAGATATAGTACAGGACATTCAAGAATTTTTGAAAAGACCCACCCTTTCCACTTTAATAAAAAAATGCACATGCACAACCCTTTACCCGCTCCCTAGAGAGAACGCCTATTAAATGTGTGCAAGAGGGTGCACGTGTTTGAAAGTTTATGTTTGCATCGGTCATACAAGCTTACTTTCCAAAAGAAGATTTGCAATTTTTCCACTACAGTATGTCAGACTCACCACTGGTAAATGAAAATGGGGACGAGCACATAGGACGGCCTTACATAAACCTATCACCAGAATGATTGACAATTAGGAGGACCGCTTATTTTGATGATCGACCCGGAAAAAGAACATCCTCCACTATACCTTTAGGATAATGCTTTAACTGATTTAAGAGTATATACATTCATACATGATATTGACACTTATACTGTTGGTGTTATACTGTTTTACAAAAGAGGGAAGTGACATGCAAGTCATACTTCTCTAAAGGGGCACCAAACTGAGAATAAAAAATAAAAGCATAAATAATAAAATTGCCCAATAAATAAACCTTTTGGTGATCAATTCTGTTCTGTTTTTATCCTCCAGAAACCTGCTCAAACTAAATAATTTTGCCCTAATTAAGTAAGCTGAAGATAAATCTCTCCTTTTAGATATTTTTTTTGCCCTTTTCCTAGCATCAGTATCAAGTTTTAGTATTGTGACAACCCAACCAGACACACAAACAAGACTCCAACCACCTATCGGGTGAAAGGGAGGAACACAAACTCAGACCCACGCCATTATTCATCAACAATGTTGAGGTAGTTTCAGAGAAACAGACTTCCTAAGCATAATTTTCAAGTGACTCTCAAACCCCAAAATACTTTATGACAAAAATGACGAGCTCCTGCACAAACAGAGTAAAGTTTACGCTGTTAAATGTCAGGAGGTCTGTGAGCAGCCAGCGGTCAATATTTCAGGGATGAGGATGTTCTCATTCAGGATAGGGAGGAAAGTTGGTGTGTGACAAAAGCAAAGAAAGCCATTTTTGTGAGGAGAAACCGGGGTGGAGGGGCTTTAGTCCAAACGTTCCCTCCTTGCAACATCACTGAATATTAATCGGACCTCTAGGAACAAAATGCAGTCATCCAAGTACTAATGATCGGTCATGAGGCTGATGGTCTTCCTTTGCATGTGAGCAAACAGTTTTGATTCTTTGTTGATCTACTAAGGTACGGCTGAGTTTACCTTCAAGAACTGAAGAATTCCCTTTGAGAAGAGAAGAAGGGTTTTGACAAAACGGTAAATTAAGAGAACAGGGAGAAAACAGAGAAACCAATCGAGAGGACTTAGTCACCTTTTTTTGATACATGTACATAATTCATGAGGGGAAACCATCTGAAAATCCTCATTAAACATCCTGAGCACATCTAAGAGGAACTTTCTGTACTAGTAACTGCTTGTGACATTTTAGAGAGCACTTCAAGGAAATCTGAACGAGCTTGGCTTTTTTTTTCTGTGACTTGTCAGCTGAGCTAAAAAAGGAGACACTTTGGCCGCCGTCTTGGAAAAGTGGAAAGCAAACAAACTGCAGCGGGGCCATCGCTTGGCAATAAAACGCACTCAATGAGGTGTGTGATGTTCTGCTTTCCATATTTAAAGCTCTTTGGTGCTTACTGTTCCCATTAGAGCAGGTTCATGCTCATGCACGTGTATCCAGCGATACACACAAGACTGCTGTGATGTGGAAAGAGGCTCCTCTCATGACACATTTCCTGGGAGCATTCATCCGTAACACTTCATACATTCAGACAGGTACAGTCTATGGCGAAAAAAAAAAAAAAAAAAAAAGCGACCAAAATCAAATGAAGGATGAGTTGTTAATCTTATAAATTCCTTTAATACCTTCCTGCAAGGATCTAGAATCTATCTAATGATGAATTCACTGTTATTAAATTGTGTTTAAAAAAAAAGACAAGATATAGCATTACAGCAGTGTATTTACACATTTATATAAGACTATTCAATACTTTCTCACCGAGAGTAAAGGTTCTCCCTTTTTAATATCAGAAAGGACGCAAGTAAATTAAAAGTAGTGCACTCCTGATTAAAGTATGCACCAAAACACTTTTCTATAATAAGATAACAAAAGATTATTATTTTATAATAAAATAAAATAATAAAACATTATTTTAAGCACTCAACAGGGTCCCATGACTACAAGAATACATATATTATTTTACAGGAAATACTGTGTAGTCAAAATATTTGATAATTTTTAAAAAGTGCTTTTATTTCCAAGAGTACTAACAATCATATCAAAGTTCTACAGTAACTGGTTAACTCTTTTGAAGAGCTAAGAAATCAAAAATTGAAACTTTCCCAACACCCCGCTTCCTGTAGGATGTATAAATCTTGCAGCTAAAGTATAATTTACGTGTATTCGTTTAATTAGAAATTTGAAGAAAAAAAAAGAAGAAGAAAAAAGTTAAGCCAAAAATGTTTAAATATTTTGAAGTATTTCTCAAACAACTTTCTTAAACTAATGAGGCATACCCAAAGTCAACCAACTTTAGGCATGCGTGGATTGGGGCGATGACAAACAGACTTCAGTTTGACCCTTTTCTTCGCATTATACAGAAGTTCTATTTTCTTATTCTTGTGTGAAGTCAGTGAAAGGGTTTTGAGGTGCACTTGTAAATGGTCTTTGGTTATTCATCTTCAGAAACAGTCGCCAAAGTTCTTTTGCTAATGCCTCAATGGCGACAAACTCAAAATAGTCCAAGGAGGAAAATTATGCACCGTGTCACACCTGTGCCCACGCCTGGAGAATTCGACCCAAATCAATAACCTTAAATAATAGAGCGTATAGATGTAACTTAAAAAAAATAAAGGAAAACTAATTTTATATGTGGATCAATTTTGAGTTCATGTACAAAATTCTCAGTCTTTAGGGGTATGGCAACCAAAAAATCAATTGAAGAGAACTGGAGTTTAAATGATGTAAACTTGGGCAACGCACCTTTAAATAATAAATATATATATATACATATATATATATACACACACATATATAGTCATAACTGATCCTGCCTTTCATAAAATATAAATATCTTTTTAGAGATCTCAGTAAAAGTTTGTACCAGGAAAACTAAATCCCTGTTCAATAAAAGTATTTTTTTACCTAAATCTATCTATCCTTCCATATTCCTTTTTTAATTTTATCTATAATAAATCATAATCTATATGGTCTTTTTAAATAAATTTTTTTGGACATTTTAACAGATATACCAACAAATCTGATGGTGACAGTTATAAAAAGAGGAGTTTAAAAGGACTTACTTTTTATCTTCTAAACCGACTGTGGCAGAGATGGCAGAATCTATCTATTTCGAGTTACTGTTAAAAAATGGTCTTAGTTTGACATGAACTGATTAAAAATGGAATCTATGTTTAGATCAGCCCAAACCCCTGTATTTCCTGATAAAATATGAGTTCATCCATTATTTATTACTGAGATAGAAAGGAACACACTCATCCTAACAAGATGAAGATCAGAAGTAAGTGCAGGCCCTTTAACTTTCTATTAGAAAAAACAACTGTCATTAATTGGGGCTGAAATTGAAAGTGAAGAAAAGGGAAAAAAAAAAAAATTTAGGAGTAATTCCATTTTTAACATGAAAGTGGCAACTTTTGCACATACTCAAGATTTTTACTCACAACTAATTACACAGGATGTTCATTTCAAATAACGTTTGTGGTGAAATACAAATAAACGGAAAAAATAACTTGTTTGATGAAAAAAAAACACAATGGTAATCAGAAATAACTTGAAGCTGACAGAAGTTAAAATGGATTTAAAAAATCTACAAAAATGAACAATTGAAAGACAGACATTGTTTTTTTTAAACCACGTTCCAACTGAATGATTTTTAAAAATGAAATACTGAAACGGGGCTGGATAAAAATAATGGAACATCAGAAAAGACTGAAAATAATGTAACCAAAGGGACATTTTAAATCAAGTTGTGACCACTATTTGGCGTCACATGTGTCTATGATCTTGTAGTCATTCAGGGGGAATATATATTGGGGTTCAGATGGTCACTGTGCTGTTTTGGGACATGGTGCGTACCACATTCAACATGGACCAGAGGAAGAGAAGGAAAGAGTTGTTTCAGGAATTCAGAAAAGAAATTATGGACAAGCATGTTAAAGGTAAAGGCTATAAGTCCGCTTCCAAGCAGCTTAATGTTCCTGTGACTATGTTGCATATATTAGGAAGAAAATTGATGACAAAAAAAGTCAATGAATAGACAAATAAAAAAAAAAAAAACTGCATTCTTCAAAATAAGTATTTGAACACATTGGTATTTTGTAAGTTCCCCCACTGAGAGGTGTCAGAAATTGTCATCTTATGTGCATATCCATTGTAAGAGACATAATCTAAAAGAAAATCCAGAAATCACAATGTATGATATTTTAATTATTTATTTGTTTGTTAGTCATTTGTTAGATTCTCTATTCAGTTTATGTCGTGAGATTGGCCAGGCCCTGCCAGAACCTTGATATGCTTCTTCCCAAAATCTCAATACATGGCCCTGGTCATTCCTTCTTTAATTCAGTGCAGTCGCCCTGTCCCAAGTGAAGAAAAACACCCCCAAAGCATGATGCTACCACCCCCATGCTTCACAGTAGGGATGGTGTCCTTGAAATGGTACTCATCATAACTCTTTCTCCGAACACAGTTAGTGGAATTATGACCAAAAAGTTTTATTCTGGTCTCATCTGACCACATGACTTTCTCCCATGACTCCTCTGGATTATCCAAATGGTCATTGGCAACTTAAGATAGGCATTGACGTGTGCTAGTATAAGCAGGGGAACCTTCCATGCCATGCATGATTTCAAACCATGACGCTGTAAGGCTGATTTATACTTCGAAACTAGGTTATCTGCGTAGGTGTCGCAGTGAACAAAAACAAAATCCCCACCCCCTCCGCTTGTACCTGACCGCCGTCATCATCACGCCGTCGTGTCTCTCTGTTGTCGGACAAACTTGCCCCCACTTCCTCACCGCCTCTGCCGTACCTAGACCCACAGCGTCAAGCTTCAATATTTAGCATAAATCAAAAATGTCTGTGTCAAGCTCACTGTGACACACTGCTGCAGGGAGTATAACCAGCCCTTTAGAGTATTACCAACAGTAACCTTGGAAACGATGGTCCCAGCTCGTTTCCGGTTATTGACCAGCTCCTCCTGTGTAGTTGTGGGTTGATTTCTCACCTTTTCTTAGGATCAATGAGACCCACAATATGCCTGGAGTCCCAGTCCGAGGGAGATTGAAAGTCATGTTTAGCTTCTTCCATTTTCTAATGATTGCTCCAACAGTGGACCCTTTTTTTCACCAAGCTGCTTGGCAATTTCCCCATAGTCTTTTCCAGCCTTTTGGAGGTGTACAATTTAATCTCTAGTGTCTTTGGACAGCTCTTTGGTCTTGGCCATATTAGTGATTAGATTCTTACTGATTGTATGGGGTGGACAGGTGTCTTTATGCAGCCAACGACCTCAAACAGGTTTATCTAATTTAGGATGATAAATGTGTGGAGGTGGATATTTTGAAGGCAGACTAACAGGTCTTTGAGTGTCAGCATTCTACCTGATAGACAGGTGTACAAATACTTTTTTGCAGCTGTATCATACAAATAAATAGTTTTAAAAAATCATATAATTTGATTTCTGCATTCTTTTTATTTTTTAGATAATGTCTCTCACAGTAGATATGCACTTATGATGACAATTTCAGATCCCTCCATGATTTCTAAGTGGGAGAACTTGTAGAATAGCAGTGTGTTCAAATACTTAGTATCTTCACTGTTGATCCATGGCACAAATTTCTTTACTTTTTTTAACCCATCTATTGTTTTCATTATGGCCTACAACCAAATGACCACTGCCACAAGCCCTATCCCAACCCAGCAAGGACGGACGGACTGACTTACAGATGAATGAAAGTAAAAGACTCACTGACTCCCAGACTTGTGTAACAGGAAATTAAACACTGCAGCAGTGAGCGGCCTAACCCACTTATTCATAACCGTGATGATGATCAGAGGTTCCGTTATCGTCAGGGAGGTCCTTCAACGTGTTGATCATTCGACGTGATATAGAGGAGACAAATATTGCAGCTTATTGACCAATATCAGCACTCAAGCCTTCCCTCTGCCTTTCTTTTAACTGAAAAACTGGAGACAGTATGAAAGACACAGTGTGAACAACAACCACTGATGAACAGAAAAGGGCCCATTTCTGATTTTATTTTATTTTTTTTTATATCAAAGTAACCTGTGTTTTGAACTGCTGAAATTAAGCTTAAGACTCTTATCAGCTTCATCTGAACCACCTGCTATGTAGTGGTAGTCGGATGAAAGGATAACACACCAGCTATGTCCCTTGTTCAACCTTCAACCAATCAACGTCAGGACCCCACCTCCTCCGAAGCCAATCGTCTTTCAAGATCCCCTTCATTTGGCTTCTAGCCTAGCCTCCCCCTCAGTCCAGTAAACTTCCCAAGGTTACTCATCCGAGTGATTCACAGCATTGAGCTCTCCAGCCGGGGCCAAGAACTTATTTCATTCATTTTAATCAATCTTTATTAATTGAAACTTCTGTGTGAGTCTCTCTAGGTTGAAATGAGAAGCATTTTCTTATTTCTCTCTATTGAAATTTATTTCCAACTAAAGAATTTATGACCTAACAGAAAACATAATACCTGAGATCTAAATGTCAAACCTTTTTTCTTAGACTAGAGGAAACAACTTTATCCTCTATTCCACTGAACCTGTCCTCTACTGCTGCCATTTATCGCAGCCACTCTAGTCATAACGGTTCCACCCAAGTTTCCCTAAAACGTCGGTACTTGCTTGTCTAAATTCCACAGCAGGCCTTTTTTTTTTTTTTTTTTTACATTTGATGCTTCAACTCCACATCAATCTGGAGTGAAGTGGATCATTCAAACAGGAAGTGAGTAGCTAAACAGCAAAAGTGGATCCAGTGGAGTTTTTAGTTTAACACTACATGTGCAGATTGAGGATCTCATTATTCTACTCAAAAATCAAAACAACATTGCCTGCAACTCCAGCACCACCAGAGAATAGAATCCTATGGATCACGAAATGCTTATTTTGGAGGTGGAAAAATACACAATTTTATATGACACGACTTCCATTTTGTAAAGTCAAAACCAGAAAAAAAAAGGTCATGTCAGTAGATTCAGTGTTGAAGGTGGATAACATTCTCTTCATCACATAAAATAACCACAAATAACCACTTTATTGCTCTATTTAAAGCCTATATGTATACTAATATTGCACCATGATGAAATCCTCATATGATCCAAGTCCAACCAATCCGAGAAGCTCCATTCAAACACTCTGTGTGGAAAAGGGGGCCCGGCAGAACCTCTGGGTTAGTTTTCCGTAAGCATGAAAGCTGGTAGGAAGTTGCACCCATGAAGCAGGTACCAACTAGGGCTGAAACAATCATGATGAATCGGTTATTGAAATAACTGTCCACTAATTCAGTAATCAAATAATCTAAAACATGCCTTTAGTAATGTAAACATTTTGCATTTAAGATAAAAAAAACTTTTATTGCCCCTTAATATCATCTATCCAGAACTACTCAGGTGGAAAAGTTTTAGTTTCACTTTTAAAAGTTAAGGAACTTTTTGCTATCCGATTACTTATCGATTAATCAAAAAAAAATCATCGACAGATTAATCAATCTGCAAAATAATCATTAGTTGCAGCCCTAGTGCCGACTATAACAAGACAATCTAATCTGAGGCTATTTTTCCATCTATACAGTCTACATGCCACTTTGGGAAGAAATCCAACTTTAAGCTGGTGTCTGAGCTTCCCATAGCCCAGCTCAGACACCGCCACCTACCCTGATGCAATAAAATATCACCCTAAGGCTAAAGAACACACGTATGTTTAAAATCACTTTAAATAGAGAATTGGAAAATTAATTTAGCTGAAGAAAATAAATCCCCAATGGATTTACAAAAAAACAGATTACTAGAGCAAATAACTTTTTTTTATCCTACTATGCTGGTACCTTGGGGACATATTGAGACATCCTGTCAATAACTGTAATTATATGAAATAACCATGGTTATCATTTTTCCTCTCAGGTCTTAAGGAGCATTAAAAAGAAGTGGAAAGGATATTGAGGCAACGGATTCGTGTTCATGGAGAAGTCAGATAGATTTTCTGCCCCGCTGTTGTAATTTGTGCTGATCTCGCTCCCGACACACATCAGTTCCAAAAATCTTAGCCATAATAGTACATCTTGGGGGGTCAATTTTAAAGCAACAATTTGTATAACAAATATCTTCAAAACTCCTACCTATGAAACTTACTAAAGCTGGTTGAATAAGCTTAACTGCTCCATTGTTTTCTCCTCCCAAGCAGTGGCTCAGTGTGTCCCACGCTGAGCTAATCCACATCTAAATCACCCCTCCGAATGAAATAATACTAATAGAAATCACTCCAGAAATAAAAACTACGCCATGCCTGACTAAAACAGTATGAACTGTTTTGCTCGGTGATGCAAATTTAGCTGTTTCAGAGAAAAACAACAACATTAAAACAGGAAAAGAAAAACTCCTTCAGGTGATGCTGTGTGCAGCAAATATGTTGCAGTAAAAGCTTCTTTTTTCATAAGAGAGCTCATGAGTTAGAGTTATCCCACCTTGCATCATGAAAGTTAACGACCAAGTCATCTAACAGGCGGTTGTTTCGAAGGTCCTGTTCGGTCAATGGCTATAAGAAAGACAAAAAGTGCTGCATTATGCTACAGTTTTGGGTGTCAATTACATATCTCACTCATAGAAGAGAAAATACAATAAAGTTTCATTTATTCCTTCAATTCCCCCTAAAAAGTCACACTCATATCATGTAGATTCATTACACACATCTTCAGTGATATAGTTCAAGTTTTTCTTTCGTTTTCTTAATTGTGATACATGTTTTGAATATCACCTACTTGGAAAACTGTACTGAACCTCAAACAACTCAAGTCTGAGCCGCTCCACCTTACCTGCAAACTGTGAAGCCTCGACTTCCAAATGAAATGCAAAACTTTCTTTCATCTCCATGTGGTGGCTCCTGTCTACGCGTTGTGAATCTTCACATATTTTGAACAAGCTCTGCATCAAAATCCTCTCAAGGCTGCAGTTAACTGCAGTGCCTGTGCATTTTTTCTTACTTCTTCTTCTTTTCCCCATCATTAATATGTCTCCATACAGCACGCTGAAGAGCCCAGCTTCATTAGCATTCACCTTTTGTGACCTACTTTCAAAGGGTCTCATCAACTGCTTGATGGTCAACCCAGCAGTCTCCTCACAACATAACGTAACAGAAAGAAATGCCTGAAATGTACCACTGTGGGTGTGATAATGGAAAAACATACAAAAATTTAAAATATATTTAAAGTCTTCCAGCTGCAATTGAATTATCAGAGAAATATTGTTCCTTTATTGCAAATCCAAAAGAGAAAATATTTGGACATGTTATCAATGTTTTGAAAATGCCCTGTCCGCTATATTTTCTATGAATATGCAGACATGATTACATATATATATATATATATATATATATATATATATATATAAATAATTCATAATCATACTTACTGAGTTGCAAACTGGGCAAAGCAGCTTGTAGGAAAGAAACTTTCTGATGCACAAGGAGCAAACTGGAACATAGAAAACAAACAGATTTGTTTTAATCTCACAGAAAATAGATCCCCATTTTGTTTTGTTCTTTCAGATTTTCATCGAGCAAGTTAAAAAAAATAATACAAATGTTTTATTTAGATAATTATGTGCTTAAGGAAGCAGATTATACTATGCATAGGCAACTAATTGCATTTGCAATAGAAGACCATTTTTACAAAATACAATTTTCTAATTCACAGCAGCTCTCACTTCGGTTCACAAATTGAACAAGACACTGACTTTCTCACCCCAGTCCTTTAGGAGGCATTAATACACTTAAAGTAGGAAAGAGGGAGTTGTAAAAGTAAACACTTTTCCAGAAACAGCAACAGTAAAGTCCAGCGACATTAGACTGGATAAGCAAGCCTTTAATATCAGAAACCATTGAAACTCAAGTTAAACATCTACATTGTAATTGTTAGTGCAAGGAAAGATCAAAGTAAAATCACAATCAGAATTATGAATTTTAGCAAAAAATGTTTATCCTTAGATTATAGTGGTGAAACTTAGATTGTCCTCTGTGGGCTTGTAGCTTAGACTGAGACATGCTGTTATTGTCACCTTGTATACAGTACGAAATTTCGTTTAGTACATCTTTTCAGACGGTAAATGAACAGTGCAAAAGTGATCAAATATAAACAGTGAGGGAGAAAAAAGAAAACATGATGCAAAAAAATAGCCTGGGTGCCATTCCGAACTTAGTCCCGCCCACAACGTTAGAGGTCGGGAAGTTCGGTCTGGCATTGCTCAATAGTAGCGCGAGTATGCTCACCCAATATCTGGTCGGGCCAATCAAATTGGCAGGGCGGGCTTTATACGTTGATGGACAGATGGTCAACAGTAACATAACCAACCACGTCACCAAAGCGCGCTTGGGTGACAACAACAATGGCTGCCGCTGGAGAGTTGAGGTGTGTAGATTCTGCTATTAGGTCTGTTCTAGAAGATATCGATAGCAAATTAATTTTAAAAGAGGAACAGAGAAACGCGATCAAGGCATTTGTTGAAAATAAAGATGTTTTTGGTGTCCTTCCTACGGGATTGGCAAAAGTTTAATTTATCAGCTGGCTCCCTTGGTCGCTTAACATACGTCACGCACTCCGTTGCTCTTATTGGTTGTAGGTCTATCCAATTGAGTGCAGAGGCATTTTTTTTCCTGGTTCGTTCGAAACACGCCCCATAATCACAGCTCTATGGAACAGTATCAGACTCATATTCTGACTAGAATTGAGTAGGACTACGTCAGGCTAGCAAAAAATCGCATTGATGTGGAAGTTTGAAGCATTAATATATATATGGTGCAAATGTGCAGTATTTTTGGTTTGGTTTTATCAGTGTGATGCAGCGACTGTGATATGATAGAGTTTTCAACAGTTCAGCAGGCTGATGGTAGTGGGGAAGAAACTATTGCAGAATCTGCTGGAGCTAAAGCAGATACTTAGGCCCCGTCCACACGAAGTCAAAACGAACACGAAACGCTGATATTTTCCAAAACGTTTGCCGTAAAGACGGAGACGTAAAATAAATGTGAGCGTCCACACGAATGCATGAAAACGCTGCAAAATGTATGCCAGGCCTGTAAGTGGCGCTGTGGTGCCAAAGCAAAAATAAGCGACGAAATGTTGGGCATGCGCACTAATATTTATACATGGTTGCCCTGCGGGTCCATTTTCGTGGTTAAGTCAAATTCAGGTGCTGAACTACACTATATTGCCAAAAGTATTTGCTCACCCATCCAAATTATTGGAATCAGGTGTTCCAATCACTTCCATGGCCACAGGTGTATAAATTCAAGCACCTAGGCATGCAGACTGTTTTTACAAACATTTGTGAAAGAATGGGTCGCTCTCAGGAGCTCAGTGAATTCCAGCGTGGAACTGTGATAGGATGCCACCTGTGCAACAAATCCAGTCGTGAAATTTCCTCGCTCCTAAATATTCCACAGTCAACTGTCAGCTGTATTATAAGAAAATGGAAGTGTTTGGGAACGACAGCAACTCAGCCACGAAGTGGTAGGCCACGTAAACTGACGGAGCGGGGTCAGCGGATGCTGACGCGCATAGTGCGAAGAGGTCGCCAACTTTCTGCAGAGTCAATCACTACAGACCTCCAAACTTCATGTGGCCTTCAGATTAGCTCAAGAACAGTGCGCAGAGAGCTTCATGGAATGGGTTTCCATGGTCGAGCAGCTGCATCCAAGCCATACATCACCAAGTGCAATGCAAAGCGTCGGATGCGGTGGTGTAAAGCACGCCGCCACTGGACTCTAGAGCAGTGGAGACGCGTTCTCTGGAGTGACGAATCGCGCTTCTCCATCTGGCAATCTGATGGACGGGTCTGGGTTTGGCGGTTGCCAGGAGAACGGTACTTGTCTGACTGCATTGTGCCAAGTATAAAGTTTGGTGGAGGGGGGATTATGGTGTGGGGTTGTTTTTCAGGAGCTGGGCTTGGCCCCTTAGTTCCAGTGAAAGGAACTCTGAATGCTTCAGCATACCAAGACATTTTGGACAATTCCATGCTCCCAACTTTGTGGGAACAGTTTGGAGCTGGCCCCTTCCTCTTCCAACATGACTGTGCACCAGTGCACAAAGCAAGGTCCATAAAGACATGGATGACAGAGTCTGGTGTGGATGAACTTGACTGGCCTGCACAGAGTCCTGACCTCAACCCGATAGAACACCTTTGGGATGAATTAGAGCGGAGACTGAGAGCCAGGCCTTCTCGTCCAACATCAGTGTGCGACCTCACAAATGCGCTTCTGGAAGAATGGTCAAAAATTCCCATAAACACACTCCTAAACCTTGTGGACAGCCTTCCCAGAAGAGTTGAAGCTGTTCTAGCTGCAAAGGGTGGACCGACGTCATATTGAACCCTATGGATTAGGAACGGGATGTCACTTAAGCTCATATGTGAGTCAAGGCAGGTGAGCAAATACTTTTGGCAATATAGTGTATGTCGTCGATATTGCTCTGTTCTTCCTGGAGATATTCCAGAAGAAGAAGATTCTGTTGTAAGCCCGACAGCAGGGTGAGTAGCATGAGCAGCAACGGCGCCATTGTTGTTGTGATACTGGTCGCGCATGCGTGTTTAGAGGCGACGCTATGACGCATGCGTGTAAAAAAAATATGCGGTTAGAGCGTAAAGATGGAAACGCGAAAACGGCGTTTCAGAATCTTCCCACTCTGAAGGCTGAATAAAAAAAAGATCGTTTACAGACCCCCGAAACGCCGGCTTCGTGTGGATGAGAGGCTGGTTTGGTGAAAAATTTGTGCGTTTAGGCCAGGGAACGTCTTCGTGTGGACGGGGCCTTAGAAGTCTCTTCCCAGAGGGCAGAGGAGAAAACAGCCCACGGTGGGGAAGTGAGGATCATTGATCATGTTACGGGCTCAGGACATACAGCGCTGGGATGAAATGTCTTTAATGGAGGGAAGAGGAGCCTTGATGATCCTCTCTGCTTTCTCACAACTCTTCCAGTCTGAGGCGCTGCAGCCTCCACACCACACAGTGAGACAGCTGGACAAAACGCTCTCTATGGTGCTTCTGTAGAAGGTCATGAGGACGTGTGGGGGCAGGTAGGCTATCCTCATCCTCCGCTGGAAGTACTAGCGCTTTTGTGTATTAAAATCTTTATCATTATAAATTAAATAAGACCAGAAGAAAACAGCTGTGCAATGCAATAAACTAAAATATATGGAAAGTTAAAAAAAAAAACCTTTCCTGATTTAAGCATATTCTTTTCAAACAGCATAAAAACTGCATATGTCCTCTGAGATTGAAGCATGGCATGGTGGCTAAGGAAAGTTTAAGATCATTTTTTAAAATAAGAAATACTTTGAACATAAAAGTTATGGTCAGCTGACTGTTATTCCCCAGACAACAGCAACCTTCCCGTCCTGCTGTGGTTTTCCATAATGTGTCTACATCTCCCCTTTGTAAGCCAAAATGCTTGAAAATGGTAGCATTTCTATGACAGACAGAGAGACAGGCTGCAAGGGGTCTCTTTTCATCATGTGGTGCTTTAAGGCTCAGTGACTCATTCAGAAGTGCACTTTTCAAAGTTCACAAGCTAAAAGAAATGTAAGACAGTATTTAAAAAAGAAATGTTTTCTTTTAAAAACAGCATGGGGTCATCCAGACATCACATTGCTTATTAAATAGACTGTTTCTGTGTCCCAGAGGTCAATGTGTTTTGGTTTAAAATGTATCCAGCAGTCTAAAAGAAAAAAAAACAAGAGCTTACAGGGCTGATGGCTAAACCTTGGAGAGCCGTTTCATTCAAAATTTAATAATAAATACTCCTATTGATAAATTCCATCCATCCATTTTCTGTCACATTTATCCAAAGCAGGGTCGCGAGGGGTGCTGGTGCCCATCTCCAGCTGTCTACAGGCGAGAGGCAGGGTACACCCTAGACAGGTCGCCAGTCGATCGCAGGGCAACACAGAGACAAACAGGAAAAACAACCATTCACACACACTCACACACTCGTTCTGCCATCGTAGTGAGGACCTTGCAAATTGTGCAACAAAAAAAATGCTATTTGATAATGAAAAACTTAAATCCTACATGAACCTCTGACAAACGAATAGATTTAACTTAAAATCTCCTGCAGTAATAAAATATGTTCGACTTGAAGTAAATTCCCCCCATAATTTTACGGTAGCTCTCGAAAAGCCTCTACAGCTTTGTTCTCTTTAATGGTTATGCTTTCCAGCCGAATACGCTGGACGTCAAACTCAGGCTCTCACTTTAAAAGCATTTTCCGCTCCCATTTAAAGTTAATTCCAATTGTTTCCTGAAACAGCCTGACTTTTGCAAAACTACAGACTTCACTCTGCTCAATTTGTGCACAAGATTATGCAAAAATCCAAACATGAAATGTTTGAATTACAGTTACTTTAAGAAAAGTTCTGCTGAATACTTACAATTGTGGGAGCACTTAGTCATCATTGTAATGTTGAGGAAATCAAAGCAAATTGGACATCGCAGCAGGGTGTCAATATTCTGTGGAAAAAAAGAAAAAAAAAGTCAAAGTAGCAAAAATGTCAAAATTATACTCACATAAAAAAGTTTTAAGCAATGATGTAAAAGACATGTATATTGATCGTGCTCATTATAGATTAATGGAAATCGGATTCTGGATTTATGTAAAGTTTTCAGCAACACAACATAGTTCCCTCACGCTTTACCATTCTTTTTTACTCAAGTTCATCACAATAAAGAAAACAGTTTAGTTATGATTAACATCAACAGGAGAAAAAAATGAATAAATAATCAGACTTTTTATTATTTATCAGCCAATCAACAGACATAGAGGAGTGAGGTTAACCTGCTCTATTCCTTCACTGGTTATTGGTTTGGTGCATCTTAAATGTCTGTAAAAACATACTTTGGCTGATGGCTCAATAATTATTGTTATCCTTAAAATAATTGTTTGAAATGTTTTTAATAAACAAAAAACAGGTTTGTGACACTAGAATAGCCTTTATTAGAATGAGCTAAAGTCACCAATGGATATTTCAAATCCCCTAACCCTAGCCTTACCCTAATCATGTCAATTATTTTAGTATTTGATTAATCTAGTTATTATTAATCTAATTCCTTTAAAAAGATCCCACGCATATGAAAAGACAAACCTTGCTAAACAAGTGTTTCATTAAAAAGATATGACAAAAAGATGCACAACTTAATTGTACTGTAAATGACAAAAAAAAGACAAAAAAACAAAAAACAAAACTTGATTCTCATTTCTCATATTAAATGCACATAGATATACATATATATAATATATATTAGGGCTGCAACTAACGATTATTTTGCAAATCGATTAATCTCTCGATCATTTTTTTCCGAGGAATCGATTAATAATTCAGTTTATGTCCAGTTATATAACATGAATGCTGGTCTGAAGCTGGATCAAAATCAACCAAAATAGTGTTCTTAAATCCAGCATTTCCCATGCTATCATTATAATGGGGGGTGGGGTGGGGGGGGGGGACCTGCTCTTCAACACCCAAAATTAATCTCTATGTAGATCAAGCGTGATCAAGCTTACATGAAGACCATCTTGCAGACTTTAAGCAGCTTGAATGCACAGGACGTTTGGGAGTCCTAGGTTTTATACACCAAGGCCAGGAAGATGCAGTCAAAAGTTATATCATTTTTAGGTAACCAGGATTTTTGTAACGGCTTTACTGAAATTTGGGCCACTATTTCATGAGCGTTTTGACCCTTTGAATGTCTGGCTTCTCTCCCACAGGGCTCTGTCCAGCACTTTTTAGTAAACCTGCTAGCTACGTTGAACGTTTTTAAAGTAACACTGAAGTTAGGTTGACAAGCTGAGTTTTAATGAACATAATGGCCAGATAAGGTACTTTTAAAAACATATCCTCCTTCTTTGCACTTATATGCGAGAAAGGGGTATAAAATCATGAATTCTACACCCTTCAGAATAACCAGTCGGTACTTGCAGTCAAGTTAACACATGCGCTTCTGTCCGGCCAGTAGACAGAGAGCAACCTTTGAAGGCAGGGATGAAGTGTCCAGGTTCAAAAGGATTCCCAAACATCTGATCCCCCAAAGCACCGGTGTGTAGCTGCAGCTGCATGTGGATCAGTGCCACTGGGTCACTCTGATCATTTCTATTTTAAGGTGAGATATGCAAAATATGTTTCCTGTCAATTAAATTTGTCAAACAAATCCCAGGGTTCCTACAACATAAGGCCAGTTAAATTTAAGACTTTTTTTTGTCCCTTGAAATAAAATTTTAAAACCAACTTTACAATAAATAAAAGAAAACCTGGTTTCGACAAATTTAACCTGATGCATATTTTAATATAAACCATTACTTTTAGGTCCAGTAGAAATTTTTACAATTTTGAAAAACTTTCCATATAGCAAGAAAGCTAAACAGACAAATAACAGATATATTTTTAACAACTAATGAATGGAATTCACAAACTTTGTTTTGATCCCTATTCAGAGTCCATAATAGCTCTGCTTTCATTGCAGGCGTACCGCCAAACATTATCTGGAGATTTGGTGCTGCTGGTGCTTTTTTGACGTCTGAGATGCTGTAGAGGCTTTGCAGAGACAAGGGTGGAATAGAACTGAGAAATAGCTGCTGCTTCTCTGGAATACAGTGCTAGTTCAACTTTTTTATTTTCTTTAGTCCATTTTTTTTTATATTCTTTTTTGTTTCAGCATTTTTTATTTTATTTTATTTTTTCTTACTTGCTTTGATTCTGTTTTATTTTCCTATATTTTAATCATGTAAAGCACTTTGCATTGCCTTTGTACTGAATTGTGCTATACAAATAAATTTACCTTGCCTTGCATTATTTTTATATTGAAGAATTCAACGGCTTTTGAGGCTTTTTAAGGATCTGCAGGAAAACAAAGTTTCACAGACAATAAACCCTCAGATGTGATGCCTTTAGTACTAGGACTGTCCCTATATAACTTTTTTAATTTCAGATAGTTCAGCTTTAAGCATTAACCAATACCAATATTGACGACATATGATATTAGCATTTATCAGACATACTTTCATTATCTATTTTATAGTGTGGAAAGATAGAAAAAGCACGATCAGTGATAGATTTAATAGACAACAATACTTAACATCAGGTTAAATAAACTTTAAACAAAGGTGGATTGAGCATGTCAACAACAATAATAATTTACTTAAATCCTCTAAATACTCCTTTAAGGGCATTGCTTTTACATGGAGGGAGAATTGCTATAAAAGTGATTATAATGATTATAATATTTAGGAAAAAATCTACATTACAATTGTTCTGTTATCCTCAACAAATTGAATTTGACTGCTTTGCCTAAAAGCTTGGATTAAACTAAACTTTATTTAGATGAATCTGAATCTTAGGTGACTGTTTTATTGGGATCAACAGACCTGCTCTGAATCGGATTCCTTACTGCTCTTTTCCCCTCATTGTGCATAATCTGTTACTTGTTTTCTAACAATAACTTTTTATTAGATTTGATGCTGTTTTTAAAAAGCCGCAGGGTTCAAGCATACCGGAGTTGTGACGTTTGTCAACATTTCCGCTGTAAAACCAAAAATGAGCATGTTCTAACTGTAAAGCTAGCCAGGTTTAGTTATAGAAGTAAAATTATCATTTCAAACCGTGTTTTGATCGGAGGTTTACGTTTGTTGTTTATAAACCTGACGCTCTGGGGATATATAGCTATAGCTGTTTTTAAAATCAAAGCACGGACATTTCTGGACAATCAATGGTATTGGCTTACTTTTAAACACGCAAGGTTGGGCGGTAAATCCTCTTCGATGTGCTGGGCCATGTTTTTCAGAGAAATGGCAAATGCCTAAGGATAGATAGAAGGATTCCACTTTTGTTTCTGAATTAACTAAGCTCCCGCTCGGACTGACGTCACTCAACTTCTTCTTCTTCTTGTGAGGTTTTATGGTGGTTGGCAAACTAGTTAAAAGTGCATTACTGACACCAACTGATAAGGAGTTTAACAAGGAAACAAGACTCACCCCCAGAAAAAAAAAATATTAAAATAAAAAATGTTTACCTTAACCCAACACAATAAACTACCAGTTTTAGTTTGTGAGGCAGAAACCCTGTCTACTTTTAAGACTAGGCTTAAAACTTTCCTTTTTGATAAAGCTTATTATAAGCCTTATAGTTAGAGTGGCTCAGGTTATCCTGAGCTATCTCTATTGTTATGCTGCTATAGGCTTAGACTTCTGGAGGACATAGGGACCCCAATTTCATCATTTTGCTTCATTCTATCTCTATTCTTTCAATCTGCAAAATCTGTTAGTTTATTCTCTAACGTTCTGCTCTCTCTGCCTTTTCTCATAGTAGCTTTGCCTCGTCTGTTCCTGTTTGGCTGTGACACCTTCCTGGAGAAAAATATCAGCTGTGCTGCTGCCATCAACACCTTTGTTTATAGATGTTGAAGATCGGCCTGTTTTTCCAGTGTAGTCCTGTTTCTCTGACTGTGACTGACTGGATGTGCTCTCTTCATCCTCTGACATGGGAGTTGGCTTGGAGCTCATCTGCCTGGCTTTGTGTTTCCTGGATGGAGCCGCCTTTTACAGCTGCTTTTTGTATTTCTGCTTCTGTCTCCTTGAACCCCAGTCGGCCTCAGCAGATGGCCGCTCACACTGAGCCTGGTTGTGCTGGAGGTTTCTTCCTCTTAAAAGGGAGTTTTTCCTCTCCACTGTCGCTACAACAATTGCTTAGTGTGAGGGATTGTATTTGAGTCAATGGAATCAACTGGTTATCCTTATATAGAAAACTTTGAATCAATTTGACTGTATGATCTGGTTAACTGTAAAGTGCCTTGCGATGACAAGTCTTTTGAATTGGCGATATATAAATAAACTGAATTGAATTGAATAAATACTTAATGAAATTCATCCTTATGATTTCTAATTTATATTTAAGTTGTCGTCAATCTGCCAGTTTCTGATGGCCCTACTCTTTTTCCCCTCATATTTTCAACCATTTCCCAGTTTAGATCTCTAATTTTAAGAAAATTTCTGCAGCAGTTGCAGTTGTTTTCCCCAACATACTGCTGCTATATGAACATATTTCTGGCATTTAAAACATCTCAAAGGCGGAGGATTGTATATTTTTACATTGTAGCTCATATATCCAAGGAAAACTTTACCCGGTAACTGCTCTTCTTCAAATTTGATCAATACTGATAAGCTGTCACACCTTTCTCCATTTCTTGTGGCTTTTAACTGTTTCACTTCTTTTACTTTTTGCACCACTTATATTTTCAAGAATCTCTTTGTCAGTTACTTTTAGAGGATCTCCTCCAATGACTCCCCTGCTAATCCTTTTGTTCTCCACCAAGCTCAGTTAACAACTTCTGCTACAGATGCTGCAACTGGTAGCTGGGACATAAAAAAAACCCCTCCTGAGAATGGTCTTTAGGATAAACTGTTCAATTATCTTATATCATATGTCACTTAATAATTTACTTAAAATATATTTTTTTAGTTCTTATAATGTATTGGTTATGACTTGTATTGTGGTTGTATTTCTCTACTGAAGAGAATGTGCTAGTTATAAACATGTCCAACTCCATATTTCTCCTCATTAGGCTTTGTTTAGCCTATGATGGTGAATTCATTCAAATGCATACAAATTTTACTGTTTATTAGCAGGTTCTACAGTGTAGTATAATCAACACATTATCTCAATATTTTACTCATACATTTAGAAAAATGTAAACTTATTCTTTTTATAATTTTTTTGACATTTTTTAATAAAACAACTGTGAACAGCTAAGTAAAAGTTGAGTATTATATTAGACTCAAAAGAAACACTTTTAACAGGAATCTTATACTGAACCGTGGTACGATCTAAAGACTTCCATAAAAGACTGTTGAGGTGCTGGTTTTCTAGTGAACAACCACTGCCACTCTACATTGGGAGTAAAAACTACAGGATGATTTATTTGTTTGTTTTTTTGCTGGATTACTGTTCAGTTTTAAGATATTATTTGGCAGGAAAGTGGAAGGAAAAAACACTGAATGAAAATATGCAAGTTTAAGTAGCTCAAAAAGCACCAACTGAAGGATAGCCATGTTATCTAATGCTGTTGGTCAACTGTTTTTTTGTCAAATCCAAAGTCAGTGCACAAACAATAAATTTCAGGACATCTGGGCCAGATCTGGATTCAAGCTAGCTTTTTTACCTGATGTCTGATAAGGCAACTGCTATTTGAGTGGCGGCTTAGTGGTTAGGGCATTGTGCTTGGAATCCAGAGGTTCTGAGTTCAAGCCCCACTACCACAGCCTGCCACTCTGGGTCCCTGAACAAGACCCTTAAACCCACACTGCTCCCTGGGTGCCACACAATGGCAGCCCACCGCTCCCTATGACAATGGGTTAAATGCAGAACTTTAATTTTGCTGCTCTGTACTTGTAGCAGTGTAATGAAAATAAAAGCTGAAAAAGGGCACATGTTTCTCGTTATTCTGGTGCTAGAAAAAAAAACAACTAACATTATAAGAATTTGATATTTATCTTTCTAATTAAGGCTTCTTCTCGATCTAAAAGACAACTCAAGGTAAGAGATAGATAATAATAATAAACTCATTTAATATACTAATGACATAAACTGTTTGCAAAACTGGCAATAAGATCCCAGAGTGATGAAAGAACCATCATCATCTTAGTAATCTAACATTTCCCCGTGTTACTGACACAAATAACTGTGGTTTGCATTGCCTATTTTTTGCATTTAAGGGACAGTATCATTCTGTCTGTCTGTCTGTCTGTCTGTCTGTCTTTCTTTCTGTCTGTCTGTCTGTCTTAGCATTTCTAATTAAACACCACTTTTGAAACACTGACCTAAGATAACCTGAAGCTCGAAAAGGTGTGCTATGAAAAAGGTAAAGTTTACAACTCATTGCTGAACTGCTGTAACTCTAATCAAGTCTCTGCATACTGTAAACATCATATTTGCACTACCAACATGGCTGTTTGTTTCATAATCCCTTAATCCATAATTCCATAATCCCTAAATTGAACTCAACTCAATGTTCTACTGCATTTTGCACCATATTCATCTACTTTGCACTGCATCAAACCTTTCTATATCAATGCCTTTTGCACCATGACTTTATACAGTTTTTTCTTTTGTCGTACACTGGCTACATTCCAATCACTGCTGCACTTTATAAATGGTAATGCTCATTTCACTGCTGTAAGCTTATCATTAAGTGTTGAAAAGCTGTATGCATTGAAATGTTGTTTTGTAGTCACTCTGTCTATCCAAGATCACAATAAAGTTTGTCTAAGTCTCTAAATCTGATTGTCTCTTAGTGTTTAGTACAAAGTGCCATATTGCCCAGTGAAATATAGCACTGGAAACTATAATGAACTTATGCCCATAAAATTAATACAGTTTTAAAATATCAGTAAGAGGAGTTTGCAGAGAAGTGGTCAAAGGTTTTTACTTTCTAAGTACCAAGCCATCAGATAAAATGCTAACGCTGACAATGAACCTCCTGTATTGGTTCATTGGCTTTCCTAATTAGATGTGAAAAAAAGAGCTGATGTAGTGCAGCTGCTTCCAGACGCCTTTTTAGACCTAACAGACTCTGGTTTCATTGATCATGTATCCTTAACAAGGCACATAGACCTCCTCTGTTGGATGTTTGTCGACAATTGTTCTTATAATTTGTTGAATTTAAAGTGTTGTTAAAATGGTGTTTTTTGTTCTTTTTTAGGCCTGATCAATAAAATATTGTGCATCTTAAAACACAATTTTAACACACAAAAACTTTTTTTGAGTGTCTGCCTTCATCAATATGCAGATCTTATTCTAATGACCAGACCATCCAAAATTATGGGAAGGGATGATATGCAAATGTCAATATTTCACATGTGAACAGCAATCTGAAACTTAACTGTGGCTGCAGCTTTTGCATTTTTTTTTTTTTTTTTTTTTTTTTTTTGTGGCACTTTTGGAAGTAAAGTGCAAGTTCATACACAAAACATTCTATTGTAATTGTGACCACAAAGAAGACACTGATAAAGTGCCAGATGATGAAGAGAGATTTTGTGCTTATATAAATATATTTGGGTCATCAGAAACAACAATATTGGAATAGTATTATATGGGAAGGTGTACATGTCTATTTATGGCAAGCGGATGTATTATGTTTCATTAAGTTATTGTGGGCCTACTTTGTCTGGCAGTTAATTGGTTCAAGTGGCATTTAAGATGAGTTTGTGGAGGTAAATCCAGCTGTTTAGAGTGTAATCTGCTGTAAACCTGACAATGGCTCCTTCTCTTGTTGCTGGGCAACTGATAGGCCGATGGGTTGAGAGATCAATCAACAGACAATGACAACTTTTTCATGATTTATGATATTTTATCTTATCATTTAATTAGTTATCATTGTATTTCCTTTTACCATTGTTCGTAGCCCTTTGAGGCTACCTATGTAAAGTGAACTAAAAATCCTATGTATTATTATAATTGTTATTTTATTTAAGTAGTTATTTTTATTATTATTATTTCCAAATAAATGTCTCAGAATCTTATCTTTCTATAATGGCCACTCTCAAAGGGTCACACAATATGCTTGATTCAAAAGGGCATAACCAAGCTTGTTTGTAAAGTAAACTATAACAACAACCAAAAAATAAGCAATTGATTTTATTTTATTTTTGACCATGGCTATAAAAAGAGCCTTTAAAATGGCTTTCTTATGGTGGCTGAAATCATATAAAATGCATTGGATGAAATGAATTCAATTTAACATGAGGCTGTATACCTGTAATACATTTAACTATTACCTTTCATGGCTTTGACTTTCCATTCAAGCAGAAGTCATTCATCCTCAGAGCTACACTGCTTTTGCAATTCTGGCAGCAGACAGTAATATGCCTGCAGCACCCCTGAACCAATTATTTAGCCTTCAGGGAGAAACATGAAATAATTTTCACTGACCATTTGTACAACTGTTATACATTTGATGGAGCATAAGGTAGTAAAAAGGGTAAACTGATGCAGCTAATTAATTGTTTTATTTTATACTAAATGGACATATATTATTATTATCATTCATCTATACTGGACACTTCAAAGGTAATGCAAAACAATATTAATTTTCCAAAATAAGAGTAGCTCCCATGTCTTGATCTGGGAAGTTACAAGTTATGTTAAACTAAATGGCCTGTGTTCTTTATCTAATTATGTATATCTTTTTAAACAATACTTTGTTTTTAAAGTGCATTATATGCTTTGAATTTAATTTCAGTTTTGTTTGCTTTTTTGGGGTTTTTTTGTTTGTTTTTTCTGACCCCTTATTTTTCTCTAAAACACTTTCACTTATCCTGTCTGCGGATGGGGCAATGCAAATAAAGCTGCCTTATCAGACCATAAAGTATAAAAACCCTTTATGATCTGAGAAGAAACGGACTGAACTAGTAGACTATATTCAAATTTATTTCATTAGTAATCCAAAAAGGAACATTTAATGTTATCTTGTGGTTCAGACTTCAGAACATCAAATTATAGGGGTTTACAGAGAGTGCTTTCTTTCTGAAATCACTGCAATCATCTGGTTTATTGCCACAGACTGCCTGAGTCCCTGAGCAAGACCCTTAGCCCCATATGGCTCTCCAGGCACAGTAGGCTGTCAACTGCTTCACAAGGATGGTATGTAAAAACTGTGATGACAAATGAAAGATTATTGTTTTTCAACTCCTAACTAGAAAAAGTTGACAAATAATGAAGGAATGAATCCTAAACCTAAATCCTAAATCCTAAAATGAATCCTGATTTTTTTTCTTGCTCTAATTTGTGCAATTTAATTGAAAAAGAGGCAAGCAACCCCAAAAATTTAAAAGATATAGGATATGATATGAAAAGTTTGTATGGCTGGATATTATATGATATATTCCATGAAGAAGAGTGGTTTGTCTATTTAAGCCTGCATCTCTAATTTTCACCCATCTCTATGTCTTTTGAAAAGAACTGGAATAGAAAATCAAAAGAATAGTTTGTTTTCAAACATTAAACATAATTTATGAAGAAATGCAAATAGCATAGAAGCAGCAATAAAACTGCTTTGGTGCAGGTGGTTTAAGCTGGAGTCAGACCAGCATCTGTCCATTTTCAGAGGTCCGTAGAGACACACTGATGGGTTTTGACAACAGGAGTGTTTATTGGATACTCAGCCAAGCAGACTATATTACCTCGATGACATATTACATCAAATGCCTGTGGGATTAGACTACGGGTTTCAGATTTACTGGTATTATGTTACAGAGTAAACCACTTCCAGGTAATAATGGTTAACTCTGCTCAGTCCAAGTTTCTTTACAACCCTGATCCTCTTCTGTTTACCTGATGTTGAAGATTCATTAAATGTTATTATGCATTTTGTTAAGAGTCAGTCACAAAATTTTCCAGGATTTCTTCTTCTGCAAATGTGGAAAAAGATTATCATTAAGCAGATCAGTGAATGTCTGATTGGAGACTACACTTTCTAAAAATAAAAGTAAGGGGAATCCTTTATTGTTTGGAAGCTGGAAGCTAATCCCGACAAAGGAAAACTTAAAGAGTATTTAATCTCGTCTGGATTGACTTGTTTTTGGCTACTTTCTGTTTCAATCCCCCAAAAAATGTTATTGGACAATATAACGTTGCAGGCAAACTTTTAATTAAATTACACAAACACCAATGTGTTTTATATTTTTTGTACAAAAAAACATAAGACATATAAATAAAAAGATAAATTTTTATTTGTCTTATATTCTTTAACATATATAAACAACTCGTCTGCCTGGCTGTGTGCGTCCTGTAGAGCTGCTTAACAGTTACCTTTTGTATCTCAGCTTCTTTCGTTATGTCCCCTTCTGTCTCCTTGAACCCTGTCGGCCTCGGCAGATGGCCACTCACACCGAACCTGGTTCTGCTGGAGGTTTCTTCCTGTTAAAAGGAGTTTTTCCTCTCCACTGTCGCTACAAGCATGTTTGGTGTGAGGGATGCAGAGAGTAAAAAAGTCGATGCAATCAACTGGTTTTCCTTAGATGGCAAACTTTGAACCAATCTGACTATATGATCTTGTTGAATTTTTCTCTGTAAAGTGCCTTCAGATGAACTTGTGAATTGGCAATATATAAATAAACTGAATTGAAATAAGACTTTAAAAACTTTGCTAAAGTTTCTACACCAAAAAAAAGAATTTCAAAGTTGAATAAACAAAGAACCTTTCATATTAACTATATACCATAGACTATTTTCTGCAAGAGGGAACTACCTTTTTACCTAACTAGTTGCAGCAATATCTGTAATCATTTTTGGTAAGGGAAATAATTCTGTTTAATCAAAATACAAGCAGGAACACGCTGCTAACATCTGCAAACATGGACTTTAAAAGCTAAAATATGGGAATGTCATGCTTCATAGTCTCCTCATAATTTGATAGTTGAGTTTGCTTGACAAGGTCTCTCAGTGCAGTACTGTGCATGGCCTTATCAGTGGTATTCTGTTGTTTCCTCCTGACTGGTGTTTCTGTATCTAATGAGACCCTTAGCACTGAGTCATCTAGCCCTGTGTTGGCCAGTGCACAAGGCCAAACCTGTCTGGCATATTAACAATGGTGGCCGCCGTGGAGAATTAGAAAAAAATAGATGAAGCCCAAGGTAAGAAATACCAGCATTGTATCCTAGTGTTTTAAGATGTTGAAAACTGACAACTGCTTGAGGTTTTTTTATTCAAATGTGGCTTTTTATCTATAGTCATATTTAATACTACAGTATATGCATTCTGATGAGGCTTGTTTGTCAGATCAAAAGTACCAATTGTAAATAGAAACATACACATATCCTTAGAAATATCCTCAGAAATATCCTCAGACGTATCCTAACACAAACAAGATCATATTAAGACCACTGATGACAATCAAACAGACCATCCACCCTTTTCATCAATTAAACTGACACAGGCAGCACTTTGTGTAAATAATAAATGGTATATTTCAAGTATAATTTGTCCTCACAGAATTTTCTTTTATAAGAGCTCCAATTTCTCCTTTGAGAGTTTTACTTATTTGCTTACTTATGCTTTTCTTATTTGTATTAAATTTTACCTTTTCATTAAGTGTAAACAGGAACAAATTTTAACAGAAACAAAGGCTGGAAAATACAAATATGTGTGATTCATTTATGCAATGTGCTTAAATTAGGAAAGTGAGTTAATGGGTAAAGGAATAGCCAGTGGATCATTATCTATACCTAAAACTAATACATTCATGGTGATTTCATGAATTTAGCGTTAATCATAAAAAATAAAATAAAAACAATATTTTTCGTCGTGATCACGGAGTCTGAGACCGGCAATTTTTGACCAAATATAATAACACCTCACTCCTGACATCTTCCTGCGGTAAGCCTAGCGCCTTTCTCCCCGCTTTACAAGCAAAATCAATAGGAACTACTGGAAAAGCCTGCAATCAACAACAATTATTTAAGATTTTGAGAGGACTTAACCATTGAAGTTCATGAGAACTATAATTAAAGTGACAATACCCATGTGTATGGCAGTTGGATGTTGTAATACATCGAGTAAGAGGAAAAAAACATTAGTTATTTCACCTTTCTAGTTTATGATCCACCACCTAAGGGTTTGTTGTTGGATTGCCAACTTGAAGAAGGGGGATTTGCCTGAAAAAACATGTAATATGTAGCCAACATTTAGAAGAAGAATGTTTTCAAGATGACTTAGATAATAGCACATTGCAACAAACACCAGATACAGCACTGGGACTTGCTCAACAGCCGATACCGCAATGTGACGCCACAAGGTGCAGTAGAAGGAGCCACAGTCCGGTAGGTGGCAGTAGTGTTCTTTGACAAACATGAATGTCTCCAGTAAAGCACATTCAAATGAAAATTACTCTTAATTAAAAAAGCTTATCTTTTATTGAACAGTATGTAATAATTTCACATTTAAAGTACTTTAAAAAAGTTCCTTTTTTCTTGATTTCCCTGTTTCATACGACACATGACACGCTTCTGTCTTGCAATCTGCAGCCAGATACACTTGAAGGTGGTGGCCAATGGTGGCCAGGGGGATAAAGTCGAGGACAGGGAGCAGTAAAGATGTGTAAACCCTAACCTTTATTTACAGGCAGCCCACAAATATTATTTTTGTTCCCACCAGTCACCTATGCTGTCAATATTTGACTTCCATATTTTTTTTTTGTCACTCTGAAGTTGCATTGTATAAATAATAATTGTATTGATTTTCTTGGTAGTATGTGTGCAATCTTGTCAAATCTTGGCTGTCACTCCTGTAGATAAATTCTATCACCACTTTCTTATACTTGTATTCAATTGAAATGAGTATGGTAATCATATCTAAGATGAGGTACATTTCAATGGTCCTCTGCCACAGTGACAAAACATCTAAACATTCTGACTTGCAGTGCGTGCTCACACAAAGCCAAAAGGATGATGCATTTTGGAGGAACTGGCATTCTGTATGAGACAGAAACTTTGTTTTGATGCAGAAAGAAACCGTTTTGGTACAAAGACAAGTTTCTGCTGATTAAACCTCTTGTTGTGCTGAATCATCCAGGTTGTTTTTTGGAAAAGCACAGAATGGTGACAACATCCAGTCTGTTTTAAAAGATGTCGTAAAGAATTGAGAGTAATCTTGGCATTTTTGGCAAAAATGAACAGTTTTGGAAGAAATTAATCTTTCTGAAAGGAAAATATTGTGTTTTGCTAAACTATAAGACTGTTTTGACAAATGACATTTGAGTTTTGAGAATGTAATTTCTGTTTTAAGAAATGAGCTTAACCAACAGAGAAAAAACAACAGATAACCAGATAGATACAAGACTTATTCTTATATTTTTTAGTTAACAGAGACATGAAAAATATCAATTTTAAATGTAGCACAGAAACCCTCAGCCCCATTGGACTGAAATGATCTTGTCAGCAGCCAGATCAGTGAATTCTGAGAAAATCTTACAGTTTTTGAATTTTTCTTTAATTGATCAAATATTTAAAGATCAGGGAAGTAAGAAGACCTTAAGTAGAGCAATATGCAGATTAAGTTCCTAATAAAAACAGCTGAGAAAAACATTACAGTACACATCTGGAATTCAATTATAATAATCAAATATTTATAATCATTATTCTGCATATCTTAAAACTGTACCTCAGTCCTGGTGAATAAAGATGCAATAATGTTACATCTTTTGTCCTGCTGTACATATGTTCTATGCAGCTTGGACACAATATCTGTAAATATGTCCGTTCATCGTATGGTGCTACAAACACCATAAAATTAGGATCATTTATTTTTTTGTGCGACTGAAAGTTTTCGCAACAGTGACAAAAGAAAGCCAACTTGCCTGTGACTCAGTCACCTCATGCTTCATTTATTATTCATGCAGTATGAACAGTACCCTGTTGCACTCCTGCACTTCAAAGGTGCCGGCATTGTGGGATATGTCACAGAATTTGAAGCTTTCATCATCCTTCCGTGACCTTGAGAGTCTTATTGATAGAGTTCAGTTTAATGTATTGCCATAGCACATTTTCATGCATCCATTTGCAACAGCAAAAAATTTATGTTTTGTGAGTTAAGTATACAAAAATCTAACATTTGAACACACAAAAGAACACACATTTACAGATGTC